TTCCATAGCAAAAAATGGCCACTTTTGTCGTCGAGTGCCTGTTTTGGGGGGTTTTCTGGTTTCTTTGTGCATGAGTGTGAACCTCAGGGGAAGCTGAAACCACGATGAATTTATTTTCAAAAACTGCGTGTGATCAAACCCTTCAAACTGCACAGTTCGCCGCTTTTCCACTCGCGGGGGAACATTGTCAAATTTGACGAACATTCTAAAAAAGTGAAAAGAAAAACGTTTCAGATTCAGATAGAGCGCAGTATGCTGAGTCGGCCCAGACTATTTCAGTCTCACTCGAACTGTTTCCGAATGGACTGAAATGTCCAACCCTTATGTTGAGACCATCAGAAGGTAACTCATGATTCCAGTGTATCTTCGTCAAATCCCGATCAATTTTCAATTCCAAGTAGTCTTTTGCGATCAGCAGATCAAGTCCCATCTGACCAGATGAACAGTTGATTGATATTTAAAAAAAAGTTCTTTCAAAATACCTGTACCCCCTCCAGGCACTAGAATAGGTCCAAAAAACTTTTTGTCAGACTTCCTAGTAACTATGAAGATGGGTCTACCAAAAATCATGCGCTGATTCTACACATGAATTTTTATCTTAAAGAGGGAGCCAGAAAATTCCCTTAGGCTGACATGTCCATTCGATCGAAAAATTGGCTCACTTTTTTAGAATGTTCGTCAAATTTGACAATGTTCCCCCGCGNACGTTGCTATCTTTAAATTTGTCTTACATTTGTTGAAAATGAATAAAGGTCGAAAATTTCAAATAAGAAAGGAAATGTTTAAAGCTACAATTATCCTATACTACATGCGAACTGTGCAGTTTGAAGGGTTTGATCACACGCAGTTTTTGAAAATAAATTCATCGTGGTTTCAACTCCCCCTGAGGTTCACACTCATGCACAAAGAAACCAGAAAACCCCCAAAACAGGCACTCGACGACAAAAGTGGCCATTTTTTGCTATGGAAAACATTAACGTTGAGAAATGTCACATATCTAGGATTGAAGAGCAAATCGAACTCTATCGATGGAGTAAAAAAAATAGATCGGTATGCCTATCTCTGGGGTGTGACGAGACACACATCTTCCTCCAACAGCTCAAACAGCATAGTGCTTTTTGTGCCTGTATATCTATCTATAGATTGATTTCTCAATCTAAGGCGGGTCACCAAATCCGACAGGGTCCTTTCACTAGCATATTCTAAGCCTACTCCGAGTTGCTATGATGTGTATAAATGCATAAAAACACACTATGACAGCGTTCATTTGCTTATCTTAAATAGAAACCACGATACTTTTTGGACCGTGGGCTGAAAGAAGAGATTCTAATGCAATACCGAGAGGTTGTTGACTTTCTCGGAGACAATTCCAAGAAGAAACAACTCTTTCAAGAGAAAATTGCACGACAATCTCAAAATTTTCTCGCTGTGTGGAAGTGATACAGTATCTTACTATCAATGAAAAAGAGCACCCTTAGGAAGAATTCGAATAGTCCAGCATACAAGTAGCTAGCGAGCATCGGTCTTCAGTAGTCGAACGACGAGACGAGGGCAAGCATATTTGTGGCTGAAAGAAGTTTTTATCTCGGACTTGTACGGCATTTTCCAGAAGAGTTTGATTTTCGGTCAGGATGAAGTACCGGAAGCTTGTTTTTTCAGTATGCTTGCGAGCGAGAAAGTATCTTCCTCGAATACTACACAAATCCAACATTTTCCGACTTTGCGTTCGAACTTTAGGTTCGACGCACCTAAGGTATCTGAAAAAGCAAATTTTCATTCGAAAAATCGATGTTTTCTTCTAAAATCTTGTGGAAAAATAACAAGCTTCTCAATTATAATAGATTTCGCGCCAATGAATTTCAAAATTTTCTTTTAGTTCTGATAACTGATCTATATGTGTTATCCCTACTCTGACAAATCCAAACATAAAACAGATTTTGACTAAAAAATGTGGAAAGTTTGTTCTGAAACAACAGAATAAAATTATTTTCATAGTTTCAAAGAAGAACGGAGCAGGCCAAAGCTTTACCGCTTTAGGCATCAAGTCACTGAGTTTTGGACTCTATCGGACCTGTTCAACAAAAGAATTTATCTTTATTTATTCATGTTTTTCGTTTGACTGTGCGAGCTTTGCCGTCTTCGGCGGCGAACCGTAAGTTACTGATGATATTGCCAGAGTATTGTTTTCGAAAGAAGAAAGTAGCTAGCTATTGACACTATTGTTCCGAAATATAGTATTGAATAGCTAAAAGATTTGCCATTTTCAGTTGGTTTGTTTCTTAGTGCAATACTTTCCGGTTATGGTAATACACTTTTTTCAGTATGTTATCGTTCGGTACAATCTATTGATGGGTTCTTAGAAGACTTACAAGAAAACGCAGACGATTTATATAAAAGAGGAAGATATCAAGTAGTAGTGATTATCGATGATTTTGATGGTCATAACAGCACTTGGTGTAATACTAAACCGGTGACGCGTGAGGGACAAAAGCTTTTCGAGTTCGCATGTAGTATAGGATAATTGTAGCTTTAAACATTTCCTTTCTTATTTGAAATTTTCGACCTTTATTCATTTTCAACAAATGTAAGACAAATTTAAAGATAGCAACGTAATAAACTCTGAGAGGAAGAAGAGAATTGTTTATTTTCACGTGTTGGTGTCACTGGCAGGCTAGTAGCGAAAAATGTTTCCAGGGGGACAAAAGTCGTTTTGTGCTGGAGAAACAACGTTCACTGAGGACGGGGGCGGGCGCAAAACCGGTCATTGGGGCGCGCCGCTCTCCTTCCTGGGGCTACGCCACTATATCGAACATGGGCTATGATATTTCTATTCAAAACTTAATAACTGCTTCATTTAAGTAACTACCAGAGCATTGGCATCAATACTATCAAAAAATGTCTTTTGAACACAACAAAACGAAGTTGTGAGTTTTTAGTTTGAAAACTTTTTTCTGGGGAAAAAACTGTTTCCAGAGAGTTTTGTACACATCTGGGGATTTTTTTCATAGGAGATGAAAAATTGTGAAAAAGAGGTTATGATCACTGGGCTCAAATTTCTAGAAGTACTCTCAATCCTGTGAAAATAATCAAAACTGTTTTTCTTCAACATTATCTCTTCTTTATTTTTCAGCTATGGATTGGTGGTCTCGTGTCGGCGGCTGTCATGGTTCTTGTCGTTTCGGCATACGTTTTTTCTAATGGCTACTTGCATCAATATCCAATTGAGCGTGTCACTGGCGACAGTTCATTTGCGTGCGATGTCACGATGCGCAATGCAAAATTCAGCACGACAATACAAATGATATCAAACTCACGTAGTTCTACCAAAGACAATCAAGCGATGTTTGATATGCTCAACTCGCAACCATTTACTCTGAACATTGATCTTGTTCAAACGGCATTCACTTGTGAAGATTCTCTTGTCGTGCAACGCCTCATTGCCTATACACTCACACAACTACCAATTGCAACATGTCAAACAAGTCATAACAATAGTATTCTATCGTTGGGCATTTCACTTCCGGCCCAGGTTATTAGCGTTCAACTCACATTGCCAGGATCAAGAACGATTGGTGCAATTCGTATCGGATTAAGTGGACCTTCAGCTGTCAGCGCAGACGGCAGGTAAGAGAAATAATCGATTGCGGCTACTTTGCAATTGAATGACGCTCAAAATGAAAGAGATTTGCAAATGTTGTACAACTTTGAGATAAGAATATTTGATAATATGCAATTCAATTGTTTTTATTACTTTGGCAAGGTACACACTCCTGGGGCTCAACTTTGCATCGACCTTTGTTCCCTCTTCACTCGATCAAGTTCTCGCCCCGTCCACTCTTTTCTCCCTTCAATTGATCCAAATTGTTAATCAAACAGCTCCGTTGAATAGTAATGGCTTGCCCACGTTCAGCGCTATTTGGTCATCTTCGTTCAGTGTCGCAACAGATAAACTGTTTGATAGCGAAAGTCGATACACTTTCTTTCAGCGAACACAAACCAATGTGAGCATGACAATTAGCGAGTCGATATTCTATGTGAGCAATGTACAAGAGCCGATTGCTCGACAAACAGAAATTATCTTTCACAATCTTCTCTTTACAATTGTCGTCTTAGAACTGTTCGGTTTGGCATTTCTCATTATCAAACTATTGCTTATTCCTCTGTTTCATACGATACTCGATCGCCTACAACGTCTATCAAAAAAGGAATCAAGTTGACTTAAGTAAAGACGACCTGACCATGGTGGTTGTTAACAAAATCAATCTTCCAACGATCAGCAAGCCAGCTCTCATCATGAAACCTCGCCGCAGGTGGTCGACCATCACCGGCACCGTGCCAGCCTCCCGCGAGCAGTAACAGCTAATGCGAGAAAAAACCATTCCAAGTTTTGTCGTGTTTCCCGTTTTTAAAAAGTGGTTCTTTTTGTTTCTGTTGTTTTTGTGTTACGTGTTACTTGGTTCAAACAATTAAGTACTTTACTATTTCCCTTATGGGTGCTACAGTTTTCGATGCATCGTGTCATCATCTAGTGATTTTTTTCATGCATAAAATTACTGACTGTATTGACTTCAGGTGTTCTCCTAGATCGACAGCATTGTCTGAGATTCGGACGGCATCTGGTGACTTGAGGATGAGAACAGCTCCCATGATCATGATTTCGACCTTGCTACATGTCTCAACAGATGGGTGGCTCAGTGTCCATCTTGATTCGAAAATCAAAATAAGACAATCTACACTGTAAAAAGTTTCGGTAGAACGGAAAACCCTTGACCGTTTTTTGACACTGTGAAGAACCTTTTTTGGGTATTTCAAGCAGATTAGCCCTACACAAGCGTTCTTTGCAACTTCCGTTCTTTAGTGCACCCGTGTTTTACTATACATGGCCTACGTGCATCAAGAACAAAAAATTGTTTTTCGATCTTAGTGACCAGTTCTGTGTACCGCCGTTCATGTCACATGTGCTTCAAAAATCTCTCTGATGTAGGTGGATAATAGTTTGGCTCAAATGACTCAATCAAGAGTTCGTTTGATCACTGATTTGGCTAGATTGCTACGAAAACCGTGTCACACTGATTTTAAGAGATGTTGAAAAATTTGTCAGTTGAATCGAAAACAGCAACTTATTCACTAACCTTTCCGTGGCTTGTGGCAAAGAAATGGCATGAAAGCAAAAAATTAAAATCACGGGCTAATGTCGTTAAATTTTTAAATAGAAATCGTTGTTTAAATTGAGATGCACTACCATCACTAAATATCACGATTTCTTGTGGATTTGGTAATGATGATTGTGAATGTGTAAAAATATGGTCAAGACACTGTGATACAGTATGTTTATTATGTGTTTGATTATTGAACACTAGAACATAAGAATAATTTTGTGCACCTGCCCAGACATGAGCAGTAAATAGAGAAAGTTGTTTTTTTGAAAAATGTGCCAATTGAATTCCATTCTGATGGACAGTTGAGAAATTTTCGGAATAATCATATTGAAGAAGACAATATTGATCGGTGGTATTTAGTTTAATTGATTCAAAATATTTTGATTGTTCACGTTTGATGAAAACATGTTTAAGAAAATGTGGTAATTTTGATTCAAGAATTTGTACACATTTCGATACGGTACCAACAGAAGTAATTTTGACAGCTCTACCAGCGTCGTCTGTTGTCCATAAAGTCCAATTTATAGTCCAATATATATATTTACTGTTAGTGTAAGAAGAAAGCATATTTTTTGAAAAGAATTTACAATCAGAGGTAGTGTCTGAAGTATCTGTGATAAAACCTGCATCTCGATCAGGTCATTTTCTCGAGGGATCGTAATGTGACTGGTTGAAAACTAGAGTTATCCAGAAAATCCATAGAAGGACATGTTAGAAAATTCTGAGCAAAAATACATTGATTTTATTTTTTGAAGTTCTACCTCTGGTATAAATTCACCTCGATCGAACAACATCTAGTACCATCAACTGATATCACGTCTCAAAAAAACCGTTTGATTTCTCGTTCACATTGAAACAAGTGGCACTGATTTGGATAAACTCGCCACTATGGTAGTTAAGAGAAAACATCTAAAAGCAAGCCGGTTCCAAAAAGATTTAACGAAAAAGAAAAATTCTGATCTGTTGAATAATAAAAAAAGTTTTGGGTACCAATGATGACGATCAGAATGAAGCTGGTGTCAGCCTAATGTTTCACCTGCCACGAATCAATCACTTACTTCATGATTAGCCAGTCTCGTACCAGCTCCAGCTCTAGTCTTCGCCTCCATCCGCTCCAAAACTTCTTCGCTGATTCGCAGAAAGCCCTCGCCCTTAGATTTATCTGCTTTTATAAATTCGTACGTTCGCAAAGTTGGTAAAATATTGTTAATGCAAGAAATTTCGAGTAATTAGACTGTACTTCACCTTGCTACTGTATTTCTGATACGTTGTTGGTATAATATGTTATGTGGATCGTCATTATTTCTTTCTCTCTTTTTGGTTAGTGACGAATTTCCAACAACACGAACTAATCTAGTACATTTGTTTATCAAAGTGAATGAGCTATATGTCGACGATTACAACAAGCTACTGAGCACGAAATTACAGTATTTTAATGTCGATCATTTGCATCTTTCAGAAAGTATTCTGCAACTATCACCACAACGTTATTCGACTATTTCAACAGAATAATCCGACTCTCCCATCTCAAGCAGTGGACATTGCATTCGCATCGTTTTCTTGGTCATGTCACCTAATATTAGTTGTCTAACTATAAACGTCGACCATCTTCGGTCAATCAGAAATTCAAGTCAAACTTGTTTACGTCTAACAAACATGATTAAAGAACTACTTATATGAGGCGATGACGAAATATGGATGGTTGATGACAATGTTAGGTTATTCAGACGTTTTTCCAACTTAGAAATACTCGACTTTTGTAAGTGCCTGCAACGAATGAATTTTATGCTATTATGCCAATAGCTTTGAAAGAATTAACGAAATTAATAACATTATCCGTACGGCTAACGTCCTATCCTTGTTTACCATCCAAAACATTCGTTGAAAATTGGTTAAAAGAGAACAATACAAAAACAAATTATTATTTGATATGTAGCCCCACCGATAATTATGTACATATGTGGCTCTGATGCAAAAGACACGTAACGGTTATATCGTTAATTCTTAAGCGTAAAAACTGCGAAAAGAGCGCAAATTTGTCTGGAATTCTGCTGGAAATTTTTCTGATGGGAAATTACATTGCCGTTTCGTTTTTTTTAAACCATGATTCAGTATGATCAGAAAAAGTCAAACAAATAGTGAATGCCGATGTAACAGATGAGTTGGCACTTCTGAAAAAGATAATCAGGTCGGAGACTAGTTTACGTTCACAAAGAGAGGCTTGAATCTGTCCTGTTAAAGAGTTATGAATGGCGCGTCACTAATGCTACTACTGTCAGTAACAGAACAAATAAACAAAAAATATTCGTATTTTAGTCTTCTTTGTTACTGAATTAAGTTAAGACGTAAGTTTTAAACTAACTGAATAAGATAATTGAAAATTTATTATTTCAATCAGAATATCTCTTTGTTCTGTTTTTCTTCATTATTAAGGTTTGGTAGAGTGAGGCTATTGCAACCATTTTTCAAAACTCATTGTATTAGAATCGTTATAAACTTTTTATTTTTGAAGATTCAGCGAAAAAAGCCGTTTTGTGGAGAAAAGAGTATTCTGCAAAACTGTCTTTTCAGTTTTCAGAATTGGTCTCTAGAAGTTGCTCAATCGAAGTTTTTGTAAACTCACCATCAAAAAGTTGCAATTGCCAGATGTGCAGCTATTGTAGGTGGTGGGGCGATTGCAACCATCGAGCTAAAATAGCTAGAAATGAAGATGGATTTTGAAAATAAGTTTTTGAAATATCCATGGGTCAGACCGAAAAGTTACTGATAACAAACTGTAGAAATTACATGTTCTATAATCTTATAGCTTCGATTAAAAACAAAGATATTATACACCTAAGAAAAATTTGTACTGGTATTTGTGTATTTTGGAGGTTTCTGATAGCAATCATCAACATTTTGTCACTAACTTAGGTTGTGAAGTTCGCTGAGCAATGTAAAAACCACTGCGCTTTTAACAAGAAACTACGCTAAATTAGGAACAGTTAACAAAAGAAAACTTCTGTTTGTGCTTCAAATTCTCATAGCATTAATATCACTAGGAAACCACAGTTCTATACGTGATCAATCACTGTGCAATAAAAAGGAGAATGTGCTTGTTGATTAATCATATTTCGACGAAGACAGTCACTACAAATAAGGTATAATCTAAACCACATACATGCCCAACAGACTATAGCATTGCACTGTGAGCAATTTCTGCCAATATCAGTTGGGAATATGAGTTTCAAACATTGAGTACAATAATATGTATTTATGTCTGATACAGGTTGTAATGGTTGAAGTGTAATGATACTACCTGATAAATAACTACTATCGGAGCCAAAATACAAGAGCAGTGGTTAATTTTTTTAATAACTCAGCACCAAATAAAGATAGACACTTGTGGTTTTCACCATTCGATAGACACAACTTGAGACTATCTTTCCACGAGCAAAGCGGATTTCGGAAAAATTTTCGAAGTCGGTTTTTCAGAGAATCTTTGGGAAACTAGCTTAGATTTTCCGAAATTCAAATAGGTATCTATTGATCTATGGGGGCATATATATTCTGAAGTGTCCTCTACAAAACTGGACCTAAGCGACATCTTGAAAACCCATGGTTCGGGAGCTATGGACGTATTTCCTGAGGTTTTAGCACTCCTCTGTCTCAAACCTCCTAGGTTTGAGCCTGTGGGAAATGAATGAAAACTTAGGTTATCCACCATGCTGAATCACGTGGCTATGTAAGTTTTCAGGACAAAATACAAGAATCGAGTGAAAACCTATACTAGGTGAAATAACCCATTTTTGATTATTTTCATCAAAAATTAAAAAATTCATAACTCAGTCAATATCCATCCCACCTACTTCAGATTGTCAGGAAACACTCTATTTTATCTAGAGCATACCGCAAAGCTCAACAAATGTTGAAAAAACCAACAGAAAATACTTTGGTTTCTAGAAAGGTTTCCCAGAAACCTTCGGAACTAAACGAATATTTTTTATTAGTTTCACGTACAGAATCAGAAGGAGTGGATAAAATATAGTATTTCCTGACAACCTGAAGTAGGTGGGATGGATATTGACTGAGTTATGAATTTTTTAATTTTTGATGAAAATAATCAAAAATGGGTTATTCCATCTAGTATAGGTTTTCACTCGATTCTTGCATTTCATAGCAAATCGGGCTATTTTCCAGCGGGGTGGTTTGAGAAGAAACGGTATAGATATTCTGATTCGTTATTTTGCGTAGAGTCCGAATCCCAAGTCCGCTTTTTGGTACAAAGTCTACTTTTCGAGAAATAAGCGAAAAACTGGTTTTGCGTGGAAATTCCTGCTTTTTCTCCACTTTCGCCATTTTTTTTCGTTCTGTTATATAGATGTATCTTTTTATCTTCGAATGTTTCTTTGATCAGAGTGTTGTTAAGGAAGAAACAGAATGGAAGAGAGAATAATTTAATCTTATGTACAAGTATAACACATTCATGTCCGAATGTACACCGATGTTTTTTTGCTCTTAGTTTACAAGGAAAACCGAAGTTATATCCAAAACAATAGAAAATGGAACAGATTGATACCTGTCGTTTTTTGAGAGTGACAACTATACTTGATTGCGAATAATGACTTGGAAGTTTTTACTATGCTTTGTTGAACGTTTTGCTTCACTTTTCCAAAAAGGAATATGGGGCATAACTTAAGCAAACAGTAGTGGATTAGTCTCCTTAAAATTCCCGATATCTTTTGCATCTTAACATATCAGTACTTTGTATTTGTGCGATTATGTGTGTGAAAACGATATGTTTTATTTTGATGCTTAGCTGGCGAATGTTGTGAATATTTATAATGTCGTACTTTCCTTCCTGCGATACATTGCAATCCAAACAAACCGTATACACACGAAGTATAAACGTGTTTTTCTATGCTTCTTTCCGGATGATTTATGTGAATTATACTATTCATCGGCGACGACAATTTATATCAGATATATTTGTATAAAGTTAGTTTAAATTAATTAACTATACAGTTTACAAAACTTGTTAATAACTTTTCTTATTTTATTTTCAAACATTCAGTCAAATATAAAAAGTTGTATTCTCTACGCTTAATCGAAATATATAGTCCAGATAGTTGTAAAGAAATTTCGTTCAGCAAAGGACCGTTGAAGACTATACGCCATAAAAAATTCCATAATTTTACATGATCAAAACTCATTGCATACTAAGATCATCTACGACTACATCGTTTATTTAGTAATTCTTTATATTGATTAGGGAGCATGCCAAAGTTTAAATTCTAATTTATTTTATTTTATTTTGTATAATTTCGGTTTCTTTGATACATACATCGGCATATATATACTTCCAATGTGTTCGTTTTTTTTAACAGACATCTTTATAAGAGCAGACATTTTTCTTGTAGCAAGCTTTCGACAGAAGAAAAAGAAGTCTTTGGAAGTCGATCAAGGAAAAACATGCTTTTTTAGACGATAGTCATTGATATTCACAGCGATGTTTCTCAAAGACTAAATAGACTGTCAATAATGCATACATAAGATGATTTTCTTTTGATGATTGCTTTTTGTCAACACTTGAAACCTAAACACATGTTTATGTTATCATCAATCGAATGAAATGAGCAAAAGACAAAATTTAAGAAGAAGCACACGTTCAGTATTGCAGTTGTGTTATTTATCAGAGCGCACGTATGAAATATAAATTGAGGAGCATCGGCTGCTGAATTAATGCGCTTGAAATATCGTAATTGTTCATCTTCAATACAGAGCACTAGCCTATCATGCAGAAAAGAGGAATACAGATGATAAGAGAGAAATGTTAAAGAAAAGTAAATCAATGAACAATACAGAAGTATTTTTCGCTATTGTTGCTTAACATATGATATAAAAAATTGACGAAACAAAAATTCTTCTGAATAAAAGCCCATCAATGTATGAACAAGACAAATATCTGCGCTTGAAAAGAAATCAGTTAACATCATTGTCTGATAATTTCGAGTGTACTGATACGAGCTTCCTTGACTGATACGAGTTTCTTTTGTGTCAAAGAAAAATCCAAGAAACTGTAATAATGACGACATCAATCAAAGGCAAACTGATTTTAATTGATCACTCGATTTCATAATGTTTCTTCTTCTCGCTTTCTTCGCTTTAGTCAACCCACAAGCAGTAAGTAGTATTGTCCTCGGACGCATCATATAATGCATCAAGTTTTCCCTTCTAGCAATATAACAGTATCATTGACCTGCTCCAAGCAGAGCAGATTTCAGACACTATCGTCACCACAACAACAACTATCACCACCCCTACCATCGAACCAAGAACCGCTCAAAGACATGGAACAAAACTGAAAGACATTGGTGCATTTATCCAATCTGTTACTGGCTGCTTAGCAGCTCTTGGACCGATCACGGGTACGGTTTTATGTTGGTGTGGAATACGATGTTATCGTAACGGAGGGGAGTGTAAGGTAAGACATTAATGCCTCATACCATTATGCATTTACCTTACCTGCTGCTCTTCTTTAGAGCGCTTGGTGGTACCCGAAGACGTTAAACGAATATCGTCGTCGCCGCGATGCAGCGCGAGGTGAGTATAAAACTGTCTTTTCTACAAAAAAAACATGATTTTTTCTTTTCTTACAGAAAGACAAATCGCCCTCAACCGTCTCTCCACATCAAACCCTACCACTGACTACTCAATAGCCTGATCGTTTTATTAATTCATTTTCCATTTACATTTTTTCTACTGACTGCTTTTTTACTTCGATATCAATAAACTTCCAAATACGATTAAAAGCATAAAACACACAACATACACGGAGCTCTCGTATGTCTTCAATCCCAGTCCAATCCAAGTCTCTTACGCTTTCAGTCCCAGTGTAGTCCAAGTCTCTTACGCCTTCAGTCCCAGTCCGGGTGAAGAAGTCCCCCAGTCCGGACTTGGACTTGCCCATCTCTGGATAAATCATAAAATCTTAAATTTTTTTAAAATATGCGCCTTCAAATTTTTCAGGTATGCCCTTTCCAATGATGAGCTTTATAAAGTTCCAGAATACTTATGTGTGGATTTTCCAGAGACCCGACCTCTGGAGAACCCAGACGAAAGGCTCTTTGAACTTTATAAAGCTCATCATTGGAAAGGGCATATCTGAAAAGCTATAAAAAAAGTGTTTATAGACTTTCGGACTGCGTCTATCGATTATGAATCTAAAAATTTTAGATTCATAATCAGCATAGTGAGTTTAGCAAACTGGCATATATGTCATCAAAGTCTCAGACTAACACCAAGAGCCTCCCTTGCCAGTTGTATAGTATCTGAAAAATGCAACGTGCAGAAGAATCAGTCGATCTAGGTTCATATCGTTACCAGATGTTCAAGATCGTCAAAGTCGATATATTAAGCGAAAGGAGTCCCACGATGATATTTTTTTTTCATCGAGATTGTAGACATCTATGGTGAAGGCGGATATAGCCTGAAATCTTTTCGGTGAATGGAGACGTGTTGACAAAGTTCTGGCCTTTATAATCCATATGTATAATTTACTACTTATTTATATAAAATGAAAACAAAAAAATTCAAAAGTAAAGATTTATGCATGGTCTTTTATATAGATCAATCAAGTTGTATGATGCCTGAAATTTTTTTGATGATTGAACTTCTAGAGAAAAAATTAATTTTTTCATTCTAATGCATTTTTCTACTAAAAAAAGTATTTTTTAAAAATCATGCCTACAATTTCAGAAATATAGTACATTATAATAAAAAAGTGTCATGACAGAAAAATGCGCTATAAAATTCTGCAAAGAATAAGCAGATTGGAATTTTGATTTTAGAAAACAAATTTAAAAGACTAAATGTGTTTTTGGAAAATGTCTAAACATTATAAACTCATTAATAAACGCCTTTTTCCACGTTTTTCAAAAACATCTTTTCCTCAGGACTCACTAATTGTATTTGGCGTTATTTATAACAAATGTAGTAGAGCGTTAGAAATTAACGCATCTTAACGCGTTGATTTTCAACAAATGCGAACGTCGTGGAAGCTAACGCTTTCAAACGCGTTTAGAATTAAAATTCAAAACCAAATTAAATTCTGGTACAGGTCTGTATGGATATGCATACAGACATGTACCAGAACTCTATTTGACTATACAGCCTAGTGGAGTGACAAAGTAGAGAAAGAAAACAGCTGTACTTACATGACTTCAGTCTTCTTTCAGTCAATCTTTTCGCTCAGAATAAAGCATTTCCGCAGACAATTATCTCCTTTCTCATACCTAACTATGTATTTGAGAAAAATAAAATAGTCTGTCTGTTAGGCCCATATTTGCCTTCCTCAGCCTTCTGTTTAAAGGTGAATTCTGATACTGAGTTGCATTTTATTAAGAAAGTCACCAGATGTAAGTGACTTTTTGAGACAGATGTTTCTCCTCTGTCATCCGTCTAGCTGTTGAACGTGAATAAATCTGCTGATACAGGTCGCACTGTTATTTTCTTTTTTCTTATTCTTTTCGTTCTGTTTCGGTCATTCTACCTCAATTACAAAGTCAAATGGCTTTTTTGCTTCATCCTTTAAGATAAAACAATTTAAATGGCTATTTCTCACAGAATTCTAAGAAAAAAAGAAGAGACCCTAGTGAGCTGAGCCAGTCTTTTTAATGATAAGTGTACTAAGCGGAAGCAAAGTGTACGTACACTCTGTTTTTTGAAAATACACTTTGTTGTACACTTCGCTTTTGAAAGTTTTCCATGCAATACACTTTGAAAAAAAAATTTTACGCTTGCAGTATACTTTGGTTAAAAAACCAAACTGCAACGCATCAAAACGAGTTAGTGAGCTACATTAACGCGTTAAAACGCAGCAGAAACTATTAGATTACCAAATAATGGTCCTGCTAAACGCGTTGGTAATTAACACATCTTAACGCATCCGTTTTCTCCAACGCGTCCGAACGTGTTAGATTTAAACGCGTTTCGATGAGTATATAGTACACTAACGCGTTTCAACGCGCGTTAACTCCAAAAAAGGCTTTCTGGGTTCTTCAAGTTAGAATTTTCTAGGTTATGAAAGAAAGAAAAAAAAGTATAAAAAGGAAAAGTTAAAAATGCTCTGTCATGATATAGTTTGTGTCATCTACTGTATGTAGAATACTATGGGGGGGAAAAGCGATACCTTTTCAGCTTTTTGTCGTACTTTTATTAGTTCTCTGTCATCTTTACTCGGAAAATTTTCTCCCGAGTGGGAATGTCCTCAATGGAGTGTCTGTTTTTCCCCCGCAATGTATAAAAAGAAAAAAAGATAATCTCGAGTGCAGTTGATTGTATCTTAATTAGCTTAATGAGTTTAAACGATAATGAGCTCGAAATCATATGGCACATCTCCCTTACGAGGGAACTCTTTTAAGTGATACGCTCCGATTCCGTTCGTTCGCACATCATTCGATAGAGGGTAGTAGGGTAGTAAAAAGCCTAAAATATTAGCGGCCCCTTTGGCTTCTTTCAAAGTTATAGGAATTTTTCTATCATTCCCAGCCAAAATCGCGAGTCAATTAAAAATTCATAACTCTAGCAAATGAACTTCTGCAGACCTGAAATTTACAGCATAAATAGCCCACAATGCCAGCTAAACAGCACCAAAATTTCAAATTGCTGTGACGTGTACTTCCCAAATTACGAGTGTACCTTTTTATCCGTTAAAAAATAGGCTTTTCTGAGTTAACATTTCCTCGTTTTGTGTCTTTTAGATGACTTGTTAGCCTTATTTTTCTTAGACCTTATGTTCAATGGCTCTCACGTTGTACTCACGAAGATACTACATATAATTTAGGAAAAACCACTGTAGGTACGAAGTTTCCAGACGTTATTCAGACGGTTAGTTTTTCCTTGTAACTCATGTGCATCTGTTTTCTTCAGACACTGTATCGAAAATGATTAATCCACACAACATCTCCCGTCTTATTTCTAATTATATTTCGTGGGAAGTACACGTCACAGCAATTTGAAATTTTGGTACTGTTTAGGTGGCATTGTGGGCTATTTATGCTGTAAATTTCAGGTCTGCAGAAGTTCATTTGCTAGAGTTATGAATTTTTAATTGACTCGCGATTTTGGCTGGGAATGATAGAAAAATTCCTATAACTTTTGAAAGAAGCCAAAGGGGCCGCTAATATTTTAGGCTTTTTACTACCCTACTACCCTCTATCGAATGATGTGCGAACGAACGGAATCGGAGCGTATCACTTAAAAAAGTTCCCTCGTTAGGTACAAAACTGAGAAAAGATTTCCGGCAAAGCTTGACGTCAATGGTTGAAGAGAGAAGTAGGAAGCAATTAAAAAATTTAAAGATTTATTGCACATTATTTAACGAAATATTTAGTCTATATTTTGTCCGAATTCAGCCTGTAAAATTATGTTAATTCTATATTGTATATTTAGTTACCTTGAACTTTAAAGTTTTTTTTCTTCTAAACTAGTATGGATCAACGAAATTACGAAGGAATGTTATTATAGCTACTTTGTTTTGGATTACATCTTGGCACGTAAGTATGAAAAGCGTAAAAGAAGGAAATATTTTTGAATTTTTAATGATGTATATTGCGTATGCACCGGGTCGAGCTACCCGAAAATTTAAAACTACAAAATTAGTTTCTTGTTTATGAATGTAGTTTTACATTCTCATACCATAAAGCTACCTGCTAATATTACCGCAAAATACTAAAGCGACGTAAGAGTTCAGATTACTTGCGTAAACTGTAAAATGAAGTTAACATGCACGGTAAAGGTTACCGGTTTACTGGTCTAACCAGTTTAACGTTCGATATGAATGCATAAGAAAATTTATTAGAAAGGCGGATTATTTAGACTCTAAATTTAGTCGTTTCCATCTACTTGCAAGACATCTTGACTTGCTATTTGATTATCATCTTGTTCTTGTTCATCTTCGTCTAATAAACCAAGTTCAACGAATATATTTGTTACATCCCTATCTTCAGAATTCACTAAAGTTGATATTTTCAATGAATCTTTATCCTGAATATTTTTTTCGCTAATTAATTCTGAGTCAGATAAGTTAACTGACCTGTAGTTAAACAACAGTTAAGTTTATTGAATATATCATCTTTACTGAATTCTGAAGATAGGGATGTAACAAATATATGTTTATGAAGTACATCTGTATGTTTTGTTTATTAATAAAGAAATTTATTTGAATTCTGATCAATTGGTTATTCGTAAATCGACATTCGGTAATAGTACAATACAAACTGAAATGAACTTATGGAATTTTAACTCGGATTGGTAGCTATAAATGAAGTTAAAATAGATATAATTTAATCAACCCCAGTTGCTACTTATAACTATTATAAATTTTTGATCGAAAGTTAAATCAGTTATGACTCCAACAAGTTATAACTTTTTACAGTTTTAAACCCATCAGTGATTGTTTTTGAACATGAATCCAAGTTAAGTTTATCAGAACGGAATAATATTTCTAATTGTTCAATATGTTTCAGTTTTGGTAACTTCTTCATAATCAGTTTTAAATTATCATGCGCTGGATCTTGAAGAACAAGTGAACGATATTCGTGAACATATCCAATTGAAATTATTTATGAAATTGTGAGAGTTGACCACAACAAGCAGACACTTGTAATGAAACAATTTCAAATAATATTGATACAATAATCATCAAATAAACATTTTGATAATGTATAACTGATGTTAGCTGATAAGATTAAAACAGAAAGTAATTGATTGAAACGACAGTTTAAATCATTAAAAAATTCAAAAAGGTCGCATGACTCCAAATATTAAAGAATATTGAGTATGATTTCATCGGATAACGGTTCTAATAATAATAGCATGATGTAAGATGCCCGTAATTCAAAGAAGGAGCACAAATTATATACTTTAATTCCGTGTAAATTTATTTAAATAACAAACGTTTCGACCTCTTTTATTCAGGCCTTCTTCAGTAATAATAGAGTTCTATCGTGGAGCGTAAATTCGTCTTTTTCTTGATGTAGCATGCAAAATCTATATGTGGGACATATGCGTATTTTGTCGTATGTGAGATAAAGAATTTACGGTCTACGATAGAACTCTAATAATTGAAATAAAAATATAAAAATATAAAACATAAAAATAGTTAAATTCTGTTACATATAACGTTAACATGTTGCCTACAGCAGATAAACATGTAGTATGACTACTTACAAATGTTTCTTATCCGCCTATTTTTCTTTTTCTTTTGCTCTTACAGTACATATTCATTTTTTCTCTATCCAGGAATAGAACCAAAATGTACTTATTGATACGAAAATGGAAGATTAAAAGAAGCGAAATAAAAATAAATATTTATAATCAAAGATTTTTCTCTCAACAATGAAGCACGACGGAGGAGATAAGGCAGTCCGATGTTAGATAGAGACTTGTAAAACCAAGAAAGAGTAATATTTGTTGAACACATAAATCATTCTTTATAATTCTTCGCGTAAACTATATCTAGTATTATGATATCGTAACAAAGCTATTATGAATATTATTAAAAAATCCAGAGTTTGGTAAGAGAACTCGAATTCTACTTGAGTAATGACAATAAAGTAAAACATAAATTTCCTCTAGACTGCCTTCCAAGGGATAAAGATGCTCTAGAAGAAGTCTCAGAGAGTGTGTTGCACAAAACTAACTGGACTAAAAGGTGTGCGCGTATCAGTTTTGTATAGAAGTAAAAGAATATGACGATTAGGGTTTCATCAAATATAACTGTAATGGTTTGTTTGATGAAAGAGAATATAAAAAGATGAAAGATTTTGAACACACATTTCTGATAACAGGCTACTAGATAAAGTGCTAGTGGATTAAAATATCCAATAATTTATGGCTTCACGATGAAAAATCTATCTATTTAATTTAATAAACCAGGAGTTCCATGTTGACACGAAGGTCGGAGGATGTAATGGTGTATTTGAAAAAATATTTGGTAGTGTGATGTTATCAAGATTATATCTTCTAAATTTTGCAGGTAGAGCAGGAATAAAATATTTACGTGGTATGTTGATCTATGCACCACCTGGGACTCAGATATTAATTGCACGAACGATATGTGAAATATCAGGTGTGAAACCAGAAATAGTCAATGGTCCGGAATTATTTAGCAACATGTTGGAAAAATCCAAAGCAAAAATAAGGGAGTTATTTTGCGAAGCAGAAATAGACGAACAAAGTTTTGGAACAAATAGCGATCTTCATATTATTATTTTCGATGAGATTGATGCACTGTGCAAGCGACGATCAATAGTTGGTACTGGAACACGAGATGCAATTCAAGATAGCATTACTACACAATTATTAATTAACATTGATGGTGTCAGTCAGTTTAATAATTTTTTAATCATTGGCACAACAAATATAAAAGATTCAATCGAACTGGCTCTCACAAGCCCTGATCGATTAGAACAAATGATTGTCCACCAGAGACCGAAACGGGTCGGGTCGAGTCCGGTCGTCTCGGGTTCGGGTTAAGATAAAAAATATTGATTCGGGTCGGATCAAAGGCAAAAAAATTTCGGGTTTTATTCGGGTCTTGCCAGTAGAAAACAAATCAAGATAGTTTTGCGGTTACGATTCACTCTTCTATTTTCAAACATATGTCTTTTCATCGAAAAAAGAAGTACAGTGTTTTTTCCCTCCCAGCCATGACGCTGTGTAATATACAGTCTCGTACTGTTAAAGCAAAGAAAGAAGAGAAAAATATATAGAAAAACGTGTTTAGTAATTCTCGTTCGTATACAGCATTATTTGGGCAAAAATATCTTGGTGGTCTGAGGCAGTGGTGGAGCAAGGGGTGGGCCAGGTAGGGCTGAGCCCTATCTGGTGACATTTTGGAAAAATACATTTTATTATACAAATATGTTTTGGTTTTACAGCCAGAGGTGGGCCAGATAGGGCAAGGCAGAAACAACCTTGCTGTTAAATTTGTTAAAAGATGAAATGATATTGAATGAAATGACAAGTCACCGGAATCGTGGTGCCCGACAAAAAGCACAAGAAGGTTTATTAGCAGCCGGTGTCAACAAATGGGTTGATCAGATTAAAGAGTGTTACTATGTTCATGTTAACTTTGCCAACACAAAAATGAGTTTTCTCTTGTGCACTGAGTATTTATAGTTATGGCTATTACACTGAGTATTTATAGTTATGGCTATTACGAGTTAAATTACAATTAGCGTGGTCATATACATTTCTGTTCAGCGTGATTAAGTATTGTTAATCTCAACTATTTCTTTTTGCAAAAGATGCGCCTTGATATTCTCTAATCAATTATACCTAAACTAGAGAACTTCAATTAGGCATCGACCAAGATGCCTCTCACCCTCACCCTCACCAAGATCAAGATATCTTGACGGACTTGACTCAAGACTTTGTCACTCTCAATTAGTTTGACTCGAGATCTTGACCTAACATTATTGACATGTACGATTTTTCAAGATCTTAACAGTTTGAAAAAAGTGTTATCATTAGCACCACCTTTTTCATCATTGTGTCGATTAATTAAAAGGAAAATTGGCTGTATTTAGTGCCAGAAAACCATTTTTCAGGGTTTTTACAGCGACTAAAGCGTTCTAAAAGTTAAACTCGTGAATATAAGGGTTCGGAAATTTACTGTTGTAAGCTTTTGTCTTGCGATATTAGGATCTATTAGGTTGGGAACTAATGCCTAGCTAAGATTTTTTGATCGTAGCACTTGTTCAACTCCAAGCGTTCGATCTTCTTTAAACAATTTTATTCTTGTAAAGTAAAGTTATCACAATAGAGCTGCGAAAAATAGCAATTTTCTTTTCTTATTGACGCCATACATAGTGTGTACTACACACTATATATAGCGTTAATAAGAAACGTTTCGGTTTCGGGTTATTGTTAGGTCAACTAAGCAAAATTTTCGGGTCGTTCGGGTCAGGTTTTGAAAATTTCGGGTCGGGTCCAAGAGCCTTCGTCTCGGGTCGGGTTCGGGTTAACCTAAAAAATATCGATTCGGGTCGGGTCGAGTTCGGGTCAAAAATCTTCGGGTCGCGTCGGGTTCGGGTCATCCACCCAAGACCCGATTCGGTCTCTGTTGTCCAAGCATGAAAAAATAAGCTAGTAGCGCCCACTGCAGCTAGCCACACTAGCTTCATAACTCGCTGCAACTACCTACAAGAAAATGTAAAAATGTTGAAGCGGGTTAGCGGGCTGCAGCTAGCTACACTAGTTTCGATACCCACTGAAGCTAGATGCATAAATGTACACACTATGAAACGGGCGCTCTAGTGGCTGCTTAAGCTAGTAACGAATTGGCTAACATTCATACAGATAGACATAATACGGACAGCATAACTTGTTAACACTTGAAATAACCATATACCGTGTCTATAGATTATTTCGACGAATTTCACTTGTCACTGATTAACATCAAGGGCGCTAAAAATTGCAAAATTATTGATGTCTTCATTGAAAACAATTAAGAATGAACAACAGTAAATTTTTGAGACATTATTATGGTATGATATTAGACATTATATTATAATGGTATTATGTTGGTTATGATTGTGGTACAAAGAGCAAAAAGCCGAAAAGAATCAATTTGTTTTTATTTTTCGATCTATGACCTATGTGTCAGTGAAAGAAATACCATCACGTCCCTTTTACGTTCTATTCAATAACAGATGCAAGAACAGAAAATACTAAAACTTCTTGCATTCATCGAATACCTTCTTCGTATAAAGCTTTATACTATGCTTCGCAACTATCAAGATGCATGGACATACTTCGCAACATCTTTGAAAATAAAACGTATCGTTCTTACCGAAAACCATATTGATACGGCTCAAATTCACGATAGCACAAGCTATATGTACGAAAAAAAGAAAGATGATAGACTAGCGCGACATAACTACAATTGTGCTCTAATGTACGATGCAGGAATAATTGGATGAATATCCAGCATTAGATCTTCATGCTCCTGATATGCTAGAGAGTACACGTTTTTTCGTTGGAAAGAGCAAATTCTGACCTTCAAAACCCATAGAAAACAAGATTATTGTGATTGCGTTTGAGCAAGAATGTTTCAACTACTACTCGTTTCGCCATCGGCACTCCAATGGTAAGAGACCAGATGCGTTTGAATTAGATTGAAAAAACACTGAGTAAGTATGGGAAGCAACGTGTAGCAGTGATAAGACACTCGTAGACAAACGCTCTAGTCAGTCACGTACGCTGACTCAACTAATACAAGACAAACGATGAAAAGAAACAAAGTGCTGGTTCTTTTCTCTCGCTGATCAGTAGCACAACGATACAACAACTATGATGCCGAGATCAGAAGAAGTGGCTCTAACAACATGCGTAATATGTGATCTTCGCTCGAACTCGATTCTATGTGACACATGATGAAAAAGGTGGTGCTAATGATAACACTTTTTTCAAACTGTTAAGATCTTGAAAAATCGTACATGTCAATAATGTTAGGTCAAGATCTCGAGTCAAACTAATTGAG